TTGGCTGCTGTAGGGCCAGTGACCAGCTGGCCTCGTGTCTGGCCTGGATCCCTGCGACAGCCCAGGTCTGTCTGACGTTTCGCCCCACGTGGTTTGTGAACCTGGAGAAATTCTGTGAAGGTGTCACGTTTTCCCGGTCGTTTGTTTTATTCACCCTCAGCTCTTAACAAAAGGGTGAGGTCTTCTCCATGTTCGTGCAGTGTCTACTCATGGTGCTTGTCCTCCTCGCCCAAAGTGCGTCGGAGCCATCTCCAGTGCCCGCATCGTGCCCGCCATGGGGCTGTCCCGGGAAAATCCCTGACGCAGCTCCGACAGAGGGCAAAGGCGCCGTTCAGCGGGTGCGTGTTGGGGAACGTCTGATGCGCAGGGACTCCCCATCAGCACAGGCTGGAGATGTGGGGTGAGCAGGACGGACGCCGACTCCTGGTGACCTGGAGCCAGGAGAAGCTCTCGTCTCTAAGTGCTGTGAACCCTGGAGGTAGTCCCGGTTCACACCTCGTTCTCAGGGGTGTTGGTGCAGCGAACTCACAAATACACTTCTGAGGAACTGCACAATGGTTACATCGCTGAACTCCCATATGGTCAACCATGGTTCGAGTCCTGTACCTGGAGGCTTAAAACTCACACTGGGCATGTGCACATGCATGCCCAAAATCCTGGAAGGAGAATGAAGGGGAAGGGATTGTGGCGTGGCCACACCCCTGGGTTTGATTTCTTGCTTTCTGTCTCTGTCTCTCCAGCGAGTGCATGTGCCCTATAGGGGGAAAAAAAAAACTCTAAAAAAAATGGCTTTTGTAAGCCAGGCAGCTGTCAGTGACAAGGTCCATGGAGGGGAAGTTGGGGAAAAAGGGAAAAGAGGAGAAAGTGAAGTCAGTGAAGAAATGGAAGACCTTTAGCATGCCTGCGGAGCTCTTTGCAGAGAAAATGCTTAATACACATTTATAAAAATGTCCAAATATAAGTCTGGAAAGGCCTGGGTCCACGTCTGAAATGCCCAGTGTCCTTCTGGGTTGAGCATTCTGTGGCTGAAAGCGTGAAGGGCTAGACCTCGCCAGAGGTCAGACATGACCCAGGGATTCAGGCTGAGCAGGCGGACGCACAGAAGCTCACGGAGGTGGGGCCTCTCTGGGGGCATGCAGTGGGCATTTCCTGTGACCTCAGAAGAGGGAGAGCAGAGTTTAGGTGCTCCGATAATGACCTCTGCCCTGCCCCACTCCCATGCTCTCTGGCTTCAGAACAGTGGGTAGAAAGCACTATCCAGGCCACGAAATTCAACCCTGGTGGTGGTGGGGAAACAAACGCTCCCAGCTAAGAGGAGACATGTACTGATGAAAATTCACTCTTAATGCATACGGAATAGTCAAAATAAAAAAGGGCTGGCCCCGTCATGCAGTGGTTAGGAGCCAAGCTTGGGGAGCAAGGTCCCTCATAGCCACCACAGTTTGAACTTTGGCCCCAGGGCCCCAGGGCCTTGAAAAATATGCGGAGTACTTTTATATGAGAGCCTGAAGTCCTGGTGAGAAGGGCTTGGGGGAAGGGATGGAGCTGTGACCACGCCCCACCGTGGCTGTCCTGTGGGAGGGAGGAGAGGTGTGGGCAGACGGATCCATGTTCAGAATGACCAAGGGGTAAAGAGGCGTCTCAGCAAGACCTCCTCCCTTCCCCCAACACACACAGGCATGAAAAAGGAACATCACACTGCAATTAAAATACAGAAGCAGCATCCAGCCTGGAAAAAGCAACCCTCGAACCAGAAGCATATTCTCATGAATATTTTGAACTGTAGGAGAACTTACTAAGGATATAAACGTGTTAAGAAAAAGAATATGAAGAGGAAATGGAGCAATAGCCGTACAGTTTGCAGGACAGAGCCACTTGAAGACGTCATCACTGGTTCTTACTGAAGTACAGATAACAAAGGGGGCCGCCGGTGGCATGGTGATTAAGGCAGCTGGATCCTACGTGACTGACTGCACGGTTTGAGTCCTGGACCCAGTGGCTTGAAAAACACACTGGGAGCATGTGTGTGTATGCCCCCAAATCCCAAGAGATGAATAAAAGAGAATGGATTACCATGTGGCTCTCCCCCTGGGGCGCAATTTCACACTTTCCCTCTCTTTCTCTTTTCATCTCTTTCTGGCAACTGCATATGCCCTGTAGCAAACTTTAAAAAAAGTCAACAGAGGGACATTCACAGACATGAAAAATTCATAGTATATGAGGCTCACAAGCTTCTTGATAAAAACTTCCTGGTGATAAAATTCAAGCACTTGAAAAGTGACTAAACATTGAGAATTTAGGGGTGGGTGCAGCTGCTGCAGTGCAGTGGTATCACCAGGGCCCTGCAGTGCTGGAAACCACATGGCTGACTGCAGGTTCGGATCCCCAGGTTGGGCTAAAAACATGTGGGGTGCACATGCAGGTGTCTAGGATCCTGAGAAGCTGAGGAACTGAGGAAGGGGTTTATGGCACGATGGGACCTTGTCGAAGGGGCTTCTCTCTCTCTCCTGCCTTGTGTATGCTCATTCTATATCATTAAAAAAAAAAAAATTTAGAGAGGGAAAAGCCATGGTTGCAGAACCAGCTCTGACACTGAATGTCAAATTCATTTAACTGTAGAACTAAGATTAAGCAACTGAGGGTTTGGAATCACACAGCAGAAGTGAGTGAGCCCTCTGACAGTTGTGACACTGCACAGGACAAACCATAGCACACGGAGTGAGCTTTAAGAGCACTAGGTGTCTCGTCTCTTGGAGCAGGAACTCAACAGCATCTGAACTTTTTTTTTTTTTTTGAGAGGTTTATCACTATAGGGCGCGTGCGCTTGCCAGACAGACAGAGAGAGACAGAGAGACAGAAAGCGAGAAATCACCCTCCGGGGGGATGGCCACACCGCAGTCCCTTCTCCTCCGTTCTCCTCTTGGGATCCTGGACACACATGCACACGCGCCCAGCAAACAGCATCTGAATATTGACCCCAGCTTCTTAGTGATTTTTATCTTCTTTTTTCTTAAATTTGATTACCTATTTAAAGAACTAACATCATGGGAGAAGCATTTTTTTTTTTAAAGAATTATTTATTTATTTATAATTTGATCAGAGAGAGAAGGAGAGTGATAAAGTGAGCTGCCAGATCCAGGACTCAAACCGTGGCCAGCCATGTGGGAGTCCAGTGCCTTAACCACCACCATGCCACCTGCTGTCCCCAGAAGCATTTTATAACCATTTATTCATCCATCTAGCCTTTTCTTTGTTATAGGCACGTGTGTTCATCAGAGAGAGACAGAGAGGAAAAAGTGAAAAATCACCCCCGGGGAGGATGACCATGCCACAGTCCTTTCTCTTCCAGTCTTCCCTTGGGGTTTTGAGCACATGCACACATGTCCAATGTATTTTTAAGCTGCTAGGTCTGGGTCTTGAGCCATACAGTTGACCACGTGGAATCCAGTGCCTTAACCTCCATGCCACCTGTTGGTCCTTCCAACTAACTTTTTATACACAGGCAAGGAGAGAGGTTTGGGATGCTGTCACTAAACGTTAGCATTAATTAATACTAGGTGTTAGGATTTCAAATAATGTGTTTTTTCTTCTTCTATTTATTTATCCATTTATTTATTTATTTTTGCCTTAGGGTGCATGTGCTTGCCAGAAAGAGAGAGATAGACACAGTGAAAGGGAAAGTGAGAAATCACCCTCCAGGGGGGATGGTCACACCATAATCCATTCTCCTCCTGAGATCTTGGGTATGCATGCACACATGCCTGGCATGAGTTTGAAGCCACTGGGTGTGGGACTTGAACCACAGTTGGTCATGTGGGAGTCCAGTGATCTAACTGCTATGCCATCTGCTGACCCCTCCTTTTATTTTGTTGCTTGTATTTTTTAAATAGTGATGCAATGTTTAGTTTATACCAACAGTAAAGGCACTGTTCTGACCCAAAATTAGATGGTCATATCATTTTAAGATTCCTGCTACTTCAGGGCCAGAAGCTGGTGTAATGGTTAAGGCGCTGGACTCTCATGTAGCCAACCACAGTTTGAGTCTTGGACCTGACAGCCTGAAACTCATGCTGGGTGCATGCGTGCGTGTGCCCCAAATCCCAGGAGAACAAAGATGAAGGGATTGCAGCGTGACCATCTCCCCCAGAGATGATTTCTCACTTTCTGTCTCTCTGGCAAGCACACGTGTCATATAGCAAAATCTCCCTCAAACAAACAAACAAACAAACCAAACAAACAAAACCAAAGATTCCTGCTACTTGTATTGTATCAACCCAGCTTTTCCTGTTGGTCAGAGTTTGACCTCAGCATTTTTTCTAAGCACGTGTTCAGTTTCCTGAAATACAAAATCATAAGCCAAGGGATTTCAAATGTCTTTGTTCTAAGCTGATGGTGTTTAATGATATTACTAGTCAAGGCAGAGTTTAGGGAAGGAGAAATGGATGGGGAAAAGGAGATAAGAAAGAAATTCTGTTTTCCCCACGAGTCCCGCACAAGTTTAAGGGTGCAGAGATGCTAACGAGGACTGAATCAGAATGAGGTGCAGAAAGAACAAAAGAAATGGTGACCCTGCGGTCTAGTCCCAGAGCTAGACTGTATGTGACCAGGTGGGAATGAAAGGAAGCGTCCAGAGTACGTGATGGCAGGACGGGGATGAATGCAGGTGGAGGTGCAGAGGGAGCAGTGTCGGGCACGCAGCCTCCAGCGCAGAGGCTTGCGGCAGCCCCACCATGGTCTGCATGCGGCCAGAGAGAGTTGTGTGTGGCGCACTGCCAGACGTCAACACGGCACACCAAATATGACACACACACACACACACACACCGTTGAATGCATGCCTGCGGCTAGGTGTAAATACAGACAGTAACATTGTGTATACAACTGAAACCCAGGGGATCTTGGGAAAATGAAACCCTCACCCTTACTCATGTAAGAGTCATGCAGACTTCACGGAAACTTCTCATGTACCAAAAAGTACTAGGAGAGACCACTTGAGTGGGTGAGAATTGCACTTTATTCACCTCGGTTGGCCTTCCAAATAATGTGTATAAAGTTCTGGCCCATTCCTCCGGGAGATACACAGCAGCCCGGACAGCAGCAGCAGCGCGACCACCTCGGCAAGCTCAGGTCTAATCTCAGATTCACGGCTGTGGAGGGGATCCGGCAGGAAACAGCCAGAGAAAGACCTCAATCAATGGGAGTTTAACCTTTGGTGCGATACGTTTTTGTCTTGTGGTCAGAGCTGAAAGGGCTGAGGCGGCTTTATTTTAAAAGTTGCGTTGATGACTTATCAAAAGCAGTTATATCTGGGAGATCATTCGGGTGAGAGAACACTCCAAAGTAATTTCTATTCTGCTTCTGCTTAGCATTTATATAGCGCAGGGAGCTCCGCGGGGCTTTTCATGCACACCTTGTACTTTCAAGGCCGTTTACCATCACTCTCGACAGCGCAGTCCCGGGGCGGGAGGTGAGGCCCGAGGAGTCGGACGGCTGAGCCTCCGGGCTGGCGCATCTATTTGGCCTTCCTGCCGATGGGGGCCCCTGGGACTGGGAATCTGGACCCTCGGCAGCACGGGCCTCAACGTGAAGGACGCCACCCAACCTCTGCAGGCAGCTGCTTCCCGTGGGAGCCTCTGCTGAAGGCCACTTCCGGTGTGGGAGCTCTGCAAAAAGCCACTTCCGGTGTGGGAGCCACTTCCGGTGTGGGAGGCGCTGCAGACAGCTACTTCCAGTGTGGGAGCTGCAGACAGCCACTTCCGGTGTGGGAGCTACGGACAGCCACTTCCGGTGTGGGAGCTGCAGACGGCCACTTCCGGTATGGGAGGCACGCAGGGAGGATGGCAGATACCCCGAGGGCCCCGGAGCAGACCTGGGTGAGTGGGCGGTGGTGCCGTGCGCCCCCCTGCCGCGCCCTCCTCGCTCACTCTCCTGACCCCTCCTCACCCTCGCTGAGTGGGAACCCAGGGACTTCGCAGCCCGTTTTCCCACGTCGCTCCCTGGACTTTGACACCTCTGCAGGGTCGGTATCTCCTTCATGGACTGTGTCCAGGGCCATTGTTTTGCCCTGGAATTGGGGATAAATCTCTAGAGGCCCACACACTCTCAAGGGCTGCCAACAGCCTAGGGCCAGGCTGTCCCCCCTAGGCTTCCTGGAGGCAGGGGCTCGGCTCTCCTTCACTCAGCATCTTCCCCCAGTCTGGAGGAGAAGACGAGGGGTGCAGGCAGGCAGAGGGCTCCTGGCGGGTGCTGTGGATAGTGTGGCTCAGTTGGGAGGCCAGTCCCTTCTGTCCACTTAGGCACATTGGGGGGGGGGCTCAGAATTACTTCTTAAGGTGGGGTTTTCTGCGAGAAGGGGAGAGGGCAGGGTGGTCCCTAAAGAGGGTAAAGGCCCAGAGCAGCTCGGCCTGGAGGACACCCTAACACCAACAGCATGTCCTAAGGTGCACGCCCTGCTCCCCAGCAGGGGCCGAGGGTGACCTCTCAGGGTCACCCTGGCTGGCAGCCGGGCATCCTATAGCCGTGAACTTGCGGAGCGGCTCCCGTCTTTTCTTCAGGGTGAGGTCCACTCCGCAAAACTGCCCAACACGATCAGGTGAGGACAGGACACCAGGCTGACTCCAAAAGGGTTATCAGACACACTCCAGCCCTTGACGCCCCCACGTTGGTGCCCACATCAGCCACTGCCAGCCTGTCTGCCCCTGTCAGAGTGCTCTGAACTGAATCGTGCACCCTAACATTGAATTGGGAAGCCCTAACCCTGTGACCTCATACTGTGCCTGTATCTGGGGGTAGGACCTTGGAAGAGGTGCTTCAGATGCAGTGAGGTTGTTCAGGTGGGCCCTAGTCTAAGCTGACTGCTGCCTGTGAGAAGAGATGAGTACAGACACATGGGAGGATGGCCGTGAGGACACGGGGAGCGTGGGTCCTGCAAGCCAAGGGGAGAGACGGGAGCCAGCCCTGCTGCCATCCTGGTCCTGGACTTCCCGCCTCAGGACAGTAGAAAGCACATCCCGCCGTTGATGCCGTGCTGCCTGTGGAGCTTGGCTACAGCTGGCCCAGCAGACCGGGGCAGAGGCTGACCCATGGTGCCTTCTCCGTCATTCCCGCTTCCGAACATCGAACCCAGCTTGTTCCGCCAGTGTTCTTGTGTGACGGTGTGTCTGTGGCCCCTGCCCTGCCAGCGTGCTGGCCAATGTCCTTAGAGACAGAATGTTCTTTCCTGCTCACTCAGACCCTCATGAGTGGAACCTCGGTGGCCGCGCTAGCCTGTGTCTCCCTGCACCCTGTCATCTGCAGCCTCCGTGTTCTCAGTGCTTCCCCACAGCTACCATGTGGCCCAAGAAGAGTTGAAGCCCTCTGGCTGTCAACTCCAGCTGTCACCTGGGGTGAGTTCCAGAAATGTTCTAGAAATGTTCTAAATGTCGGTTTCCTAAGCTGCAGGAACAGCTGCAGCCGCCTTAACAGCTGCAGTGATTCGGAGAAGGCTTTCTAGGAGGACCCCGCCAGCCCGGCTGCCCAGCTTGGCCAGCCCTGGAACGCCAGCCTCTCTCTTGCCCTACGTGGGAAATCCCGCTAGGACAGGATGCAGCTGGCACACCACGTCAGTGCCGTGCACAGCCTGCTTGGCCCCGGGGCCTGCCTCTGCTGCCAGGACTCATTTCGGCCTCTGCAGCAGCAGCCAAACCCACAGTAGCATGTGTCCAGGTCCGGGCCCAACCCTCCCGGCTCGACCTGTGGTGGCACAGTTACCAGGCCCTAGGCCCCATGAAGGACCGAGAGGGGTGAGGCCTGCGTCTCACCAGCATATGCCCCAAGGTGGTGCCCTTCGCTTCAGTGGGGACATTCCTGCGACCGAGGTGTATGACTTCCTTGGAGCTACTGCCATTTTGGGGGGTGCAGCAGGGCCACTTTGCCCCTCCCACTCACTTTCAAGACGCCTGCCAGGGAAACAACCTTGCCCCCGGGGCTGTGGGACACCAGCCCACATTGCCCTGCAAACCAGAGCATGGGGCTGAAATAGGTCTTCCTTGGAAGTAGGTGTCATTGTCGAGCTGAAGACCGGGGCTGGGCATACAGGGAAAGCACAGGATTAAAAATAAAATCTCTGAGTTTTCTAAAGGAGTTGGTCACAACTGCTTTCATTTGGGGTTTGGAAATCCTTCACGGCCATAACGGTTTCTCACAGATCCTCTGTGGCAGCCCCCAGCTCCTGGAGGGGCAGTACTTTGTTGGCCTGTTGAGGAACCTCCCAAAGGTGCCTGCGTTAGGGAGAACAGCCTGCGGGCTTGCCACCAGGTCTGCCTCGCCTGTGCGCGTCCTCCGACCAGGAGCCTGGGCTTTCAGAGGTGTGACTTTATGATACTTTCTTCATTAGCTTCTCAGATTTGTTCTCTATCATAACTCGTCAGGGAACAAGGCCAGGAGCAAAGCCTAAGTCCCTCCTAGACAGGTGATGTGGGGGCTGCTGGGCTCTTCTCAGAGACACGTGTAATCAATCTGCCCTACATCCGGTCTGAACCACACGGAGCTGGAAACGTCAGAACCTAAACTGTAGCAGTGCCCCTTGGTTAACGCCCTTTGATAGAGCACTCGGTGCAGAGGTCTCCAGGACTGGGCTTGAGCCCCGTCTTCCCCGGAGGGCCTCTTCTTGAGCAGCCTGCTCCCGCGGGCCTCACTGCCCTGTCAGGTCCAGGGTGTGCCTCCAGCACCTCTCCCAGTCCCCGTTTTCTGCACTTCCCATTCTCATTTTGCAAGTCTGGGAATCTTTTCTGTTTTTTCCCAGTCTGTGGCTTGGAGGGAAGAGGAGGGAGGCCAGATCTGCTCTGCTGTGGCCCTCTGGTGCTGCCCGGCCTGGCTGGTGGGGGCGTGAAGAAGATACAATTGTGCGGACTGTTTTTTTTTTTTTTTAATATTTATTTAATTTAAAAAGTGTATTTATTTTTTAATTTGATCAGAGAGAGAGAGAGAAGGAAAGTGAGAAAGCAAGCCACCAGGCCTAGGCCTCGAACTGTGGTTGGCCATGTGGGAGTTCAGCACCCTAACAACCACGCCATCTTCCAGCCTCAATTATGGGGACCGTTCTTAAGACCAAAAATGATCCTTCTTGGGCAAACTGACCAAAGCCATGAGTGTGCGAGCACAGGGCAGGGGCTGGCCTGGGCTTCTCCAGCTCCCAGGGAATGGCCCCGGCACCCTCAGTCCCTGTTTCTTGGCCCCTGCTGCTTTAGCCCCTGGGCTTTGAGGCCCCAGTCCCCGTCTGCTCAAGTCTTACCCCTTCCTTCTCCAAGCTCTAGTGTCAGGTAAGAAGATAAGCTCCGCTATTTACTCTGGAGCTCAGTTTCCTCGTCTATGAACTTGGTTGGTATATTTTAGAAGGTGTTTAAAACACACTTGGCTTTCAATGAGTGCTGTCCTGGTCCTATTACTCAGAGGAGAAAGCGCCTGAATTCTTGACCAGTCAGCAGCCCCAGTTTGCATGTCTGCTTCCAGCACAGAATCGTATTGTGGCTAAGCATTTTAAGGTGTGTGTCCGTCCTCCTGTGATGGTGTAAACACAGCTGCCAGGAAAATGAGAACCATCTGGAATGGAGAAATTAGGATGCTCCACAAAAGATGTTCACTGTAGAACTGTTTACCATGATAAATGACCAGCACTGTCTTAAATCTTGAATGTCCAGCCAAAGGAGATAAGTAAAGCTGAGGTGACGCGTCAAATACATTGCAACCATCAAACTCACTCTCAGTGCTGCCAGTAAATTGTAACATATTGCTAAGTGAATGACACAGGCTACAGAGCTATATTAATAGTCATCTTTTAGGGCTGGCAGATGGCATGGTGGTTAAGGTGCTGGACTCCTACATGGCCAACTGTGGTTCAAGTCTTAGACCTGGAGGCTTGCTTTTTTGCTCTCCATCTCTTTCTGGTGAAATGAATAATAATATAAATTAAATGAATAATTCTTAAAATCTTATTTCATTTCCATGAAATAATACATGAGGGTTTTTTTTTTTTTTTTTTTGAGAGAAAGATTTTACTAATGGGCATGTGCGCTCCCCGAAGAGATAGAGAAATAGAAAGTGAGAAATCACTCCCCCTCCAGAGGAACAGCCATGCTGCAATCCCGTCTCCTCCACCCTCTTCTCAGGATTTTGGGCATGCGTGCACACAGGCTGGCAAGAGTTTTAAGCTACCAGGTCTGGAACTCGAACCAAGGTCGACTATGTGGGAGTCCAGTGACGTAACTGCTACACCATCTGCTGGTCCCAGTACATGAGCTTTTCATACACATGCACATACGCAAGATGGGGGTCTCCAGAAAATTCACAGAAAATCCATATGAAAAGTATGCGTGGATTTCAAAATGTTTTGCACCAAAGTAAACTCATACTTATATTTTATTATTATTTATTTTTAATTGCCAGAGAGCATGTGCACTTGCCAGGGACACAGAGAGCAGAGAGAGAGGGAGAAAAATCACCCCACAGTGGGATGTGGTCATATTACAATCCCTTCAACTTCATTTCTCCATCCTGTTGGGATTTGGGGCATGCATGCTCAGCATGTTTTTCAAGCTTCCAGGCCTGGGATTCAAACTGATCTGATTTCTTCATGACATTTTGAAGTACCCTCGTGTGCCGCTGGAAGCACAGGCACCGCTTGGTGCCCACAGCTACCTCGGTGGAGGCACAGGGCCATTTCCTGTCTGCTGGCCGGCCCTTCCACGAGGTCACAGCAGCAGGCACCCAGGCCACTTCTTCCTCTGTCCAACCCACTGTAACCACCAAGTGGGTACCCAGCTCCCTGATGGTTTGGCTCAAGGTAGTGAATTTGCGAACAGCAGGCACTTCCAGCCAGCCGCTGCAGGCGTCCGGAAGAATGATCCACCCTCTGTCCTGTGGCTCTGGTGGTTCTTCAGGAAAGGGAGCCAGAGGGCTCGGTGCCTTCGTAAGCAGCACCCTCATCAAACTGAGCCCTCGATTCTGAGAAGTGAAGGGGCATGGCTCCACTGCGTGGAAGGTTTTCTTAGACCATTGAAGACCTCAAGTTTGGCTCAA